TGTGAACAGCCAGACTTAGTCAGACTCGGGAGATACTCTACCACTTCCAAATCCTTAGTCAACCTCTTCCCTCTCTGCCCTCAACAAATTATCCACTGCAAACTGTGCTAGAGAGATGAATGTAAGAGTAGAATTCATCAAAATAAGATGAAGAACCAGCAGTCTATCGCAGGTGGCAGTTTGATTAATGAAAGCCAGAAATCAGCTAGCACAAATTGGGAAATCAATGAGACACAGGGAAAAAGCAAAACAACCAGAAATGTCTACCTTTTCTTGGAAAAAAAAAGTCCTTTGTGTTTGTTTGGGCCTTTTGACCTGGAGATGTCAAGGCATTTCACAAGCAATTTCTTTTACTCATGTTCCTGCTGTAGAGAAATCAACAGAGGCATTAATGCAAGCTTCCCTCTGGGCTCACAGGAAATGGGAGCAAAAAAGAATGGAGCCACAGTGCTTACAACTTTTCCAGTAATTGAATCCCCCAAGAAAGATTGACCAAGCCTTTATGCAGTTGTTTCCATCAACCTGATAGTAGACATCAGTGGGAGAATCTGCTCAATCCAGAGTGGCCCTTCTCTGAGAATTTCCCCCTACATTCTTTGAAATGAGTCCTAGAAGCCATGTTTGTTGTGTGTTGTTTCCCATTGTCCCCCAATCTTGACTGATTGGAACGGAAGGGATACCCAGGTCAATAAAATTGTATGAACTGTGGCTTGCCTTGTAATTTAGAGACCTACCCAGTATTTAAGTTTGGAATATTGAGAGAAGCAAGAGCAAAGACACAGTCTTCTGAGAGAAGGGTAAAATGTTTGTCTAAGAACTGATCACATGTCTACTTTGGTTCCTACCAACTTTCTAGTTCCCAGTTCCAGAACTCTGTGAGGTCCAGCTCCAGGGTCAGCCATTAGGTTGAGTGGAACACCCTTGAATCTAATGATTAAATTATTCTTCTTTCATACACACTTGCTCCATTTGACTTCTACTCCTTGCCACTGAATGTTTTCACCATTTTTTAGATGTATCTGTTAAGTCCTCATTCTCACTGAGATGTCTGTCTTGCCATGGTTCAGTTCTTCTCCTGCATCTTCCCTATTTCTCAGTCTACACTCAAGTGTCATTTTTCCTACCTACCCTTTACATATATGTATTCTCTAAAATTCTTTGCTCAATCCATCTATTCATACTTTTCCTATCAAATCTTACCTCCTCTATGGTTTCAGTTAATACTTAATTGCATCTAAATCTATACTTCTACACAACACCACTTGGCTGATATTGTCAAACCATTCAGACTAGCCTTATGCATTGTGCCTTCCTTTTTCTAAAGCATCTCCTTCATTTGTGGGATTAAACTCTTGTCTATCTCTCAAGCTGCAGGTTACAGAGTTATTTTCAAGCTGTTTCTAACCGTTCTTCTTTTATTGCAATTTATTCAATCATTGTAATCTCACAATTGAATAATTTCTGTAGTTTCCTAACAACTGTTCTTTTCATGGTGTAACCACCCCTGACTACTGTCAATCATCCTCTACACTCTGCCAGAATTATTCCTAAACACATACTAGCCAAGGTTATTCATACACTAAGACAAAAGCTCAACAAGCAAAAATCAAAAGGTCAGTAGATTCATATTTCTTACAACGGCCATGATACTTTATTTATTACAGAAGTCCCTGTAGAATTTGCCTTCAGACTACCCTTTAACTTCACTTCTAACTCCATTTAGTACAGTTATCACACTGTCTAAAAGTTGTTTCTCAGATACTTCATGGCATTCCTTAATTCACCCATCCATCCTTCCATCCATCCATCCATCCATCTGTTCATTAATTATGTATTTGCAAGGCACCAAAATTGCAGCCATGCCCTTGGTCCTAATGATGTTCTGAAGGAGATTCCCATTTAAGAAGAGAGACTCATAATTTTTTTGTCATCAGCATGCAATACTGAATTAATGGGCTTCCTGCCACCAGCACTGACTAGGAGAACCCCTGAAGTGGTGATGGGAAGCTTGTTCTCTGGGAGCCTTTAAAAAATGGCTCAGCTCACTGACCTGTAAGGGAACTCATTCTCTAGGGTTCTTGTTCTGTTTCATTCTGATGGCAGGAAGTTACACCCAACTGGAAAGGTTAGATAACCAAGGCAATAGGGAAAAATTCAGAACAAGTAACATGATTTTAAATGTTTTAAGAAATCATTATTTAAAATGTCTAAAACTACTGCCAAGCTTGTTGATATTGAAATTAATATTGAAATATTATTAATATTGAAAAAGATCTTTAGCTGCTGTAGGCTAAAAAAAAACCCTCAACTTTCTGCAAACAGAATACTACCTAAACAGCACATCAACTTGTTAGAGAAACACAGGGTCCGTAAAGACTCTGGGTCCCTCCCAGTACCTGAGGTAAATGGGCTACACATTGCTCAACTTAGTGACCATGGCCTCAGTAGCTACTCCACCCTTCTGAAACTCTTTATGAGGTTGCATAAGACATGTTTATCTGACTTTAAGATCTGTTCACCTCTCAGAGGTACAGTATGGCAAAACAAAAAGAGTAGGTTCTAAGTAGAGGTGAGAAATACTGTTCACCCATCCTACATCTACCCCATATCAACGTATTAATGCTCTCTAAGCCTTGGTTTGCTCTGTAGGTGAACTGAGGTAATAGTGGCTGTACATTTTGCAGAAACATTAAGAATCAGCAAGAAAATAAAGCATGAAACCAGTTTGATGCCAGGTGCCCACTGACCTTCTTGTTATCCCCACCCCAAAGCAAGGTTTCTTTCATACTGTGTAGGACTTAAGACTTACAGGGTCTCCTGTGAGGGGGTCACTCTTTACCTCCTAGAGTCTACATCATGCTCACTGTTTTTATGACATTAGAAAAGAGAATAGGAATTTTTTGAACAAAATTCTCTGTTTGCTAAGGCGATATCTGCCATTTTCTCTAATCTGCTTGAAGTCAGAAAATGAAAGAATAATGTCCCATTGTCTATGGGAAGCTGCAAAATACACATGGGAGGGACATAGGCTGCTGTTGAGTCACAACCATGTAAAGAGGACTGTCGCACCTGCTGTGCAGCCTGCATCCGAGAATGTAGCCAGGTGGTCGGGATAGATGACACAGAGACCAGTCGGTTGCTTTAAGAAAACTTTATGCTTCCCAAGTCAGCTTAGGAGGGGCCCAAGTCCGCTTAGGAGAACCCCCAAGAAAAAAACGCTTCCCTTTTTAAGGACTTCTGCCATCCATCTACATACAATTCTTTCCAGACTTCTCACCCTCCTGGCTGGTGGTTTAATCTCTGGCCCCAGAATCGGGGGAGACACAGCAGGGAGCAGGAAGAGGCATCTAGCCATAGGGGGTGTCAAAGTCATGGTGTTTCAGTGAGGGAGCCCTTATCTGAGTCCTATCAAGAGCTTTATAGCACTGAATTGTTTTCAGTAAACATTATCTCACAGCTGCCTGCTCCCAGGCCGAAGGGGAAGTGGGTTTCTGCTCAAGGTCTGGTGTCCCCACAGAGGACAGTCTGTCATGTACATACTTGTGTATGTTGAAAACAATTAGGAAAAAGTAATCAATGCTACCTACTGTGTTTTCTTAATAATTTACATTTTGCAAGCTTACAAGTAACTCCTGGACTTCTGTTGTCTATTGTTTGACAGGTGAAAATAGTGGGAAAATCTGTCTATTTAGGGTTAGGGCTGTCTGTCTAGGGTCAGGTCTATCTGTCTGTCTGTCTGTCTATGGCCAGGCTCTTGGCACTTACAGTGGATCCTGAAGAGAAAAGCAGAGCTATCACATTTTGAGATAATAAGTTTTCAGTTCAAAACCTTCCTGAGTGTGTCTAGGCAGTGTGCTATACCTGAACGATGTCACCTTTCTGAGATTCTCATAAACACAACACAGTAGCCCAACAAGCCAGGAAGTCTTAACTCCATGTCACTTCTGGGGAAGTCCTTCTGTGTATATGTTTCTCTTACTATTTAATGAATAAAACACTGATTGACTGATTAGCCAGGCAAGAAGTGACGTAACTGGGCAGAATCAGAACATAAGCAGGAACAAACAGGAAATCACTCTCTTCTCCTGTCTTCTCGGCAGAGATGGTGAACAGTCAAGATGTAGGACACCAGAGAAGTAAGAGGTCCCTGGACCCTTTCTCCAGTACGATAAGACCATGTGGAAATACATGGATTAGTAGTTATGGGCTAATAATTAAGTTAGATCTAGCCAATAAGAAACCATAGCCAAGCAACCAACAGTTTCATAATTAATGTAAGTCTTGTGTGTTCATTTGGGACTGACATGCTCTGCGACTAGGCTGGCAGCAAGAAAAGTCACGTAATACTCTGGTCTTCTCTTTCCTCTCTTGTTGCTTTTATATGTGCATTTAAAAATATGTGTGTGAATATATGTGAGCATGCATGCGTGCATGTAAAGAAAAAAGAGGGAAAAGGAAATACATATACGCATGCATGGATCGGTGTATGCATATACACATATATACATACACATGATATTCTTTTTCTTGAGAACACAACAATCCATGTGCACTTCCATACCAGAAATATCATAAAACATCTGAATCTGTGACAGGGTTACCCTGTGTCAGAACTGGATTTCAGAATCTGGTCAAGAAAACATGCTAAAGCATTCATTCCCACTCGGTCTTTCCAATAAAGACCTATGTCAATATGTAAAACACCCAGGGGACTTGTTGGAGATTAAATAGAGTTAGGAATAAATATGTCCTTCTAAAAACAGGGACTTTTCTATATTACTATCAAATTATTTTAAGATCAATAAAGGCAGGTTTAACACTGCAGGGCACTTGACCTAAGGTCATCTAAACAAGGGCTTTTGAAATTATGTTGTGCTTCTTGGATGTTTGAGTGTTTTTGCAAAAACACAGCTTTCAGTAATCTGTGAAGTAATAAAAGTTTAGCATATTAAAAGGTTTCGTTCTGCCTCATGTTTCCTTTTAATTCTCAGAGTATGCTTTTACCTTTCCACTGGTATAAGACATACTTCCAAGGTTGGAGCCTTATGACGGGCATAGTGGAAGGAACATGGACTTTCAAAATTCAAAACAAAACCCTCACGGCCACCAGATGTTGACCTGATTCTTCTATCCCTCATTTACTCTGTAAAATGCTGTGTATTGAGAGTTGGGTACAAGGTAAGGAAGGATGCAGTGAGATACTTGCTTGAGCAATGAATGTCATATGATAAGACCTGTCTGCTATTATTGATAATGACCAAGTTTGAGAACTGTTTGTTGTCTTGTGGAAGTGAAAAAAATTAATGTCTAATTTGATACACCTCATAAAAGAAGTGCCTTGCAAAATGAATGAGAAACGTAGTTTAGCACCCACCCCAATCTTATTTTTTCACATTTCATTAACAATGTTTATTTTTGGGTGTCCTTTAATCATCTCTGAAGATAATTTTGATTCATGGATTGTTAAGTTTGAAGTGGCCATAATGTTTGAAGTTGCCATATGTGATTAGGTTCTCCATATTTAGTCTATGAATATGAAAACTTTGCTATCAAATTGCAGGATATTGAAAATCTGAACATAATTAAAATTGTCTCATTTATAGAGGAAATATCAGGCCCAGAAAATCTTCACAAACCAGAATTTTGATTTGTTTTTCTTTCCTTAACAGTTAATCCATGGGAAGCCACTGAAGAGCCTGTTGGGGAAGATACCAAAGAAGACATTTAATCCCAGTGTGAGTTTCACCCACACATAGCATGAAGAGCAATGAAACTACTTATCTTTTACTTGGCCCATGCTTCCTTCAAAGGGTCCCACAGGTGAGGATGCCATGCTCCTTTAAGAATTCCTGGCCAGGTTTTTCTTTTCACCTTTGGATTGAGGGAAGGAGGAACTGGGGAAAAGACAGGCGGAGGAAAGAAAAGGACTGGGTTACTTGAAAATCCATGACCTTATAAAAGCTGAAACATGGTCTGGAGACAGCTGAGTAACAGGTGCTCTAAATGGAGACCCAAGCATCCAATGGACTAACAATGACTATGTTAAATGTCATTGTCAGTGGATGTTAAGGTTGCAGATGGCACTAAAATTGCCAACCACCCAACATTGACATGTGGATACTATTCGAGATTGTGGCAGTGGGTCCTCTCAGTCAAAGAGGTTCTTAAAAATAGGAGGAGGGTGGAAAGATCATCATAGTGGGATATGTTCAGAATAGCTTGGTTTAATAATACTGCAGACCTTATCACTGATAATTGCTCAATCACTAGGCTGGCTTAGAAAGGGAAGGAGTAAATAGAAATGTAACAATGAGTCAGGCTGATGCAAAAGGAACCCCTCAGGTGCGTAGTGGGGACCATGTGTCCTGCCTTCCTGCTTAGCTGCTGATTGAGTCTTCCTTCGTCTGATGTTACTCTCTTACTTTGGAAATATCTTCTAAATCCTTGAAACTTTTGAATTAGGAGGGGTCATGCCACCCTCCAGCTCCCCTCAAGTGCAGTTCCAGGATCCAAACCTCATGCCAACCATTGCACCTCTTTGATCCAGCAATTAGCTCGAGTTTAACCATTTGACACAAAGCGATTTGTTATTGGACAAGATTTGGGAAGTTTCGGCAATAGATTTTCTTCTTTCTTAAAGGGATGATTGGGAATTTAGAACTAATGTAGATCTATAGCAACCATTTTATCAAGACAAAAAGAAAGTCTAAATGAAAGTGGAGATAATGATGCCACAGGGTGAAGCCTAACAGCAGAGAGTTTGATATTTTTAGCAAAGTAGAGCCTAGTATTGGAGTGCAGTATCCTGAGCAAGGCAGAACCCAAAAGCAGAAGACAGGGTGGGATCCTCAGTTAAATTATTGAAGCCTCTGCATGTTACTCACCCAAATGCTCAGCACTTTGAACACACAAGTTAAATGAGTCAATACACTTTTGTTTCATTTAAATGCATTTGAACTATATCCCTGCTGTGTGAAAGTCCCACAGTTCCTGACAAGGAAGGAGTGAGTGATCACAGTTTCTCAGGTCCATAAACATAAAGCAAGGACTTTAGAAATGCCAGACACAAAGGCACCAATACAACTGAGCCCATTGCAACTGATGTATAAAGTGGAAGGTAATTTAATAGACCCTTTCAGATATCTGAAGTAGCAGCATCATCCACCTAGAGTGCCTGCTTCCCAGAATTAGATGGCTGAAGAACCAAATCAGCAAATAAAAGGATGCTAGAAGACTGACAGAATAAAAGATGGTGGCCCACTGGACTCATTTCATCTGCATCAAGATGAAGTCATGTGACCCATATGCTGCCCAAGAGAAAGATAAATTTGAACCTACTCAATTGAGAACATTTCTCCAGACTGTATTACATAATCTACAGGTTTCCTCTCTCTGCTTCAGATCATTGATTTATCTTCACAGCAACGAACCAATTGTTTTGATTCTTTCCTTTCCCCAAACATCCAGTCAAATTGTTTCCTGAATTGAAGTCTCATTCTCTTACTGCTTTCAGTCTGTCCTGATCATCAGGTTTGACATTACACCCATTTTAACACTGTCCAGGTGATACATATGTAAGAGCTTTCCATGTCTGCACTTCCAGGTAGCCAGACTCACTGGCCGGGGCTGTTCTGGGTTAGATGATCTCACAGAGACAAGTACAGCCCTGAGAGGAAGGCTAACAAGGATTTACATTGCTGTGCTTCCTGGCTGTCAACTTTCTAAGTATCCAAGACCTTAATTCTAACATGTAGGTAAAATGTGTGTGTGTGTGGGGGGATATCTCCCAAAGTAGGGGAAATAGAATATGTAGTTGTGGAGAAACAGTGGGAGACTGGAGTGAGGATTAAATGGGGAGCGAAGAGGTGAGTGAGGGAGGAGATGTGGACGAGAGCTTCTCTCCCGAACTAGGAAGCTATCTCCAACTGGCAACTGTGTGCAAAGGAGTCTCAGTGGGTATACAAACCACACTCAAGAAGAGGCCTCCCCCACCCAGCAGTACATGGCCAGTACAAAATGGAGCCATGGTATTTTTGTGGGTTGTTATAACATACTGTTTTGTCTGGGCAGTTTTTATTTTATTGGTCTTCTGCATGTATATGTTTTCTGATATTTTTATGAGTTTGCTGTATATTAGTGAATGTGTGTGTGTGTGTGTGTGTGTGTGTGTGTGTTTCTTGTGCCTTTTCTTTTTTCCCTTGTTTTTTTTCTAAGAAGAGAGGAAGAAGGCCTGGAATTAAATGGGCAGGGAGAATCTGGAGGAGCTGTAGAGGATAGACCATAATCTTAATATATTGCATGAAAAATTATTTTCAATTGAAAAAGCAGAAATGTTATAGCATAACAAGTAATAAATCTTATATGTATATAATTCAGTGACTTTGAAAAATGCATTTAAGTATCAAATACTCTAATCAATATCTCCATGACATTTATTTCTATAATCTTAACTTGTTCATATTGGCTCTTTTTAACGCCCAGTATTGCTCATTCTAGACAATATTACTTGTATCTTTGATTGAGGAAGTACAAATTGACAAAGATACTACACATTCAGGAATGTTTATCATACTCATTTGCTTTGATAATCACGATTTTACTGAAACACTGGAAAAGGAAAACAGGCTGTCTACACATTTTTGAGGAGCTGCTTCTGCGGGGGAATAGACATACTGAATATCCCTGAGAATTCAAATGCTTGAATTCAGATAGACCCTTCCGGTCACCTCTCATCTCACAGTTGAGCAGCGTTTGCTTGAGCTCTCTCAAAATGTCAGGAGCACATATTTGAGAGTCAGAAAGTAGGTGATAAAGTATAAACAGTTTCCTAATAATACAAATGTTGGCATAAAGAGTCCACAGTGAACTAAAAGTCTACCCTTCCATTTGTGAATTAGGTAACTGTAGGCGAGGACTGGGAGAAATATTCCTAGACGGCAGTAAGCATTGTCCCTGTCCCAGAGTCCCAATGACAGAATTCCACAAAAATTCATCCTGGGCAACCAATTGTATGTTTAGGTTTAGTGACAGAGCACTGGGTGACAGGCTATGGGCAGGAGCATGGGTGACCTTAAAACAGCCACACTAGGAGGTCAGTACCCAGCATGGATAAGGACACCCCCAAGGCCACATAGATGGTGCCCCCTCCTCTAGTCCTTCCCAGCCTGTATCCTCTAGCTACTCACCAAGCCATGTGTAATTGGGCAGAATTGCACGCTACTGTCTGGGAGGGGTGGTGGAATACTCAGGCAAGGGTTTTATGATCCTTCCCACCTCTTCCTCCTTCTTGGAGGGATCCCAGTTGGGATGATCTTTCCAAAGATGGCACATCTGAACTCCTAAAGATGACATCTGTTGGCTCAGAGGATGGTCCTGTACAAAATCAAGAAGCTGGCCCTTTTTTAAAAAATCATTTCTTTCCTTTAGTAATGGCAACAATGATTTGCAGATTGTTCATGCAGATAAAGTGACAGCTTGAGAAAGCCTTGAAGATGCTGATTTTCAGTGTTCTCATTTATCATTAATGAACAGAATATTTGAAAGCACATATTTCATTGAACTATTCTATTCCTTTGTTCTAGTTTCTGGTAAGCAAAGGCTAGCTTTTCTGCTTAAAGACTTCACAAGGCAGAAGTCCCTTCTGTTAGGAGGAAGATCATTGGGATGAAATGTCAATCAATAATGACTGATTCAATCATAATAGATTTTCAAAAATTCTGTCATATGATTTTATAACCTCAGTATACTCTTAAAACTGGACTCAGTATTGTTAAATATAAATATAAATTTTACGACTGAGGAAAGTGAACTAAACACAGTGAGGGAGTCACCCAAAGCAATGCAACCCATTGTAGTAACTTAAGACTCAAATTCAACCCTGATTCCTACTGCAGTGCTTGCTGCTGCTAAAACCTGATAAACAAACGTCAGAAACGGATGTGTTTTCCTAAAGTGTTATTCACACATCACTAAATATAACTAAAACTGCCCAGGAACTTCCTTGTCATGTGGAATTGTATCTCTTCAGGAACTGCAACTACGAAATTGCCTTTCTGTCACTTTCCAGGCTCCTCACATTTCTGTTTGTGGAATATTTTAATTGCCCAACGTCTAAAGTAATGCATTAATTCTCTCTGTGTCTCTGTAATTCACATGCAGGGCAGGTCTTATCCCAGGCTGTTTGGGCAGCTAAGAGTATTAACAAGGCACTCTGCCTTCATTGGCTCTGCTATACCCATGTTCCACCAGCCAGTGGATCCTTTGGAATCACAGCTGCGTTCCACCTCTGCTTCAGAGGGGTTAGTAACTACAGAATGCCCCACAAAGTCCCCAAGAGAAATATTAAATGGAGTGATTTCAGAGTAACCAGAGCCAAATAGCATTTGAAGCAATATGCCAAACCAAGTCCCAAAACACACCTTCAGTGGCTCCCTAGGGAATGTGGGATTTGACTTTCTCTTTAAGTCCACCGTGACAGAAATATGAGAAACTGCAAACAGAAGCAGATGTTACTTACATTCCCAGAATTGAACTGGGCAGCCTTAGCAATTAGGCTGGATTGGAAGTGAACAGTGCTGCCAAGTTGGCCCCATTGTCATTTACCATTCCATGGTACTTGTCAAAGGACCAACAGGAAGTTCTGATTTGCTCTTCATTAGCCTGGGGGAAGCCAAATTGCTCGGAAGGAATTATGTTGGACCAACTGTAATATTAAAGAATGATTGATAACTGACAATTCAATGTCATTCTGTCGTTTTGTTTGGAACAACTGAAGATAATTAATAACGAGGCCCACCAGCTCCCTTTGTTCAGTGCATCTCCACTCACACTCTCTAATTGCATCCACTGAAGACTACAAGTTGCAAATTTAATTAGGCTCTGAAAAAGAGATTGAGGCCTGATTCATATACCCTATAAGCAAATCCTGTCTAATAAAGATAGTTTTCATTTGTTGAACACTTCTTTTGTGACACAAAGCATGTATTTATATGCAGTCCATTCTTCACAGAACTGTATAGTTGATTTTATTGAAATAAAAAAGAAAACTGAGGATGGCAGCCAGATAGAATTCTACACAGTTTTTCAGCTGCCAATAAATTGAGCCCTGTGTTGCAGTAGGGGTAGCGGGTAGCGAACCCTGCCATCCCTTAATTGCATACACCTGCCACTATGGTAATGGTCATTTTTCAAAGGCTACCTCAAGCTCTGCCATTTCCATGAAGCTGAATTTGAATGTTCCTGGTTGATTTGCCAGAGAGATCATGGATGATTGAGCCGAAGTTGTGACTCCAGTGTGTGGGAGAGCCAGCCAGTGGTCTGACTCCAGAATACACATTCCTCACCAAGACAGGCAAGTGTTCACACCCATCAGAAAGATGTGGAAACAACTTAGAGGCTCCTTCCATTGTGATGAAATTTTTTTCAAAAAAGTAAAAAAAAAAATGGAGTAAAATAAAAAATACCATGTTGCCTCACATAATAAAGATAAATATAACATGAATAATTGTTTTAGATATGGGGGAGAGACTGGATCATAATGAAGGCTATTTCTTCTTTAAGGAACATTTACTTAGGGGTGTGTGTGTGTGTGTGTGTGTGTGTGTCTACATGGGTTTACACATACCACTTCCTGGCAGGTACCATCTGAAACCAGAGAGCAACAGAGCCCATGGAATTAGAGCTATAGGTGGTTAGGAGTCACTTGATATGGGTTCTGGGAACTGAACTTGGTGCCTCTGGAAGAACTCTTACCTGCTGAGCCATCTGTCCAGCTCCCCATAAAGTGGGATATTTCCAATTATAATAAAGGATAAGAAAAATTAAATATCCCACTATTTTAGATAATAGGTGTTGTGATATCTTACTTGTCCAAATAAAGCCTGTCTAAAGGGCAGAGAATGGGATTTGCTACTAGTTAACCATAGAGGTCTGGAGGTCTCTACAGACAGACAGGAAGTAAGATAGCTGGGCAGAAACAGGATATAAGCAGGGAGAAACAGGAACTCACTTGCTTGTCTGCTGAGATGCTAAGGAGGTAAGGTGTTCTGTGGTTTGCTCCTTCTCTCTGATCTCTCAGCATTTTCCTCTATATCTGACTCTGGGTTTTTATCATATAGACCAATGAAGAACCCCATTTACAATAGGCTTCCAAAGTGTATCATGCTCTTTGCTTTCAAGTCAATGTTTGATATTATCAGCTCCTTCAGGGCTGGGCTGATAACATAGCTACTGTTTTTAGCTTCATTTAGTTGTATTTAGTCCAGTAACTGTTTATTTGATTGTGATATTTAGTGGCAGTGACTAACAAGCACTTTAATTCATACATTTATTTAATAATTATCAAGTACTTATTATATGCTAGGTATCCTTCTGCGCACTGGGGATTCCATGGTGGACAAAAGAGACAGTGTCGTTTCTTGGAGTTCACCCCAAGGGGACAAAACTAAAATGTGTTTGTTCAGATGTCAAATAGGCTACTTCATGAAGAAAGACTATTTATATTTGAGCCTGATATTGGATGAGAAAATTGGTGAATATATTGGGTGGCAGAAAAGAATGGATAAGGACATGAAAAGAAGAAAAAAAAGCACCAGCACAAGATACTGTAGGGCCATCTTGGTTGGGGTGGGTGTAAGGGTGAGGGAATTGGAGAAGGCACCAGAGTGTCCTAGGCACGCTAGCAATTGCCAGGTCATCAGTGGGAAGACACCACACCACTGCTCATCACAGTATGCTTCAGACATTCCTAACTGACCCCCACAATTCAATCTTTATCACATCCCAGCCCATCCCTGAGTTGTCTGAAGCTAACAGCGGAGCAAATGAGTTTGCCTCTATGCCGTCTCTTGGTTTTAGGATCTTTTTGACTCCACAAGCTAATGGAAGAACAGGTACCCCCAGCCATCCCTTCTTCTTCCCTCTCTGTACTTGAAACACACCTTGCACTTGGCTCTGAACAGGCGGCTTGGTTTCTCTAGCCCTCCATTTCTCCCCTTATTAAATGAGGAAGCTAATTGTTCCAGTCTCGGGTACTCAGGCCAAAGAAAGTAAATGAATATAAAACGTTTATCACATAGAAAGTGCTGCCTATAGCTGCATGCTGTTCCTAAGACACTTGTGAGTTGCCTGTTCGTGTCTGGGGGTGCTTCGTTTGCTATAAAGCCTTTAATTTTATAGCATTTCTTCTAGGCAAAGGTCACTGGCAAACTATGACAAAGATCCCAGCTGTCCTCTGTACTGCTTTATTCTCAAGCAGGCTCTCCCCACTTAGAGCAAACATGACAGGAGCAGTACCAAATGCCCTTCCAACCAGTGTCAACATCTCAGCCTAGGGAATTCACCTATCCAGTACCTCCAGTCACCACCTCAGGA